TTTCCCAGCTTAGAGGACAAAATAAAATACAATAAAATAAAATTACTGAGCTGAAGAAATAAAAATGAAATTACAAACTTTAGGGGAATTAATGATAATGAAAACTTACAGCAAATACAACTGGACATGCCAAAGTAGCAACCAAGGACATAAAGAATAGTAATAAATAACCTTAGAATTCTACTGGGAGGGGTGAGTACTGTGAAGAAACAATTGTAAAACCATTAGAACCAATCACTTGGAACTTAAGCATTTCAGCAAAATGACCAGACACAAGTTCAATATCAAGATTACATTCAAGATCTAGCTGAAGAAAACTAAATGCATTTCTAAGAGATAATGAATAAAGATATAAAACATCAATGTGTGAAAGATTTGATATTGTTAGAAAACAAAAATAACTAGGGGCCAGGGATGTAGCTCAGTGGCTCCGTGCTTGCCTAGCAAGTGCAAGCTCCTGAGTTTGATCTCTGGTACCGGAAAAGAAAAAAAAAATGTAAAAAAAAAATTAAAAATGAGTATTGGCAAACTGAATAAAGACCAATTAAAAAAATAAAATATTCATAATAGAACTAAATAGACATTTCTGAAACATGCATTCAAATGGCCGACAGATACATTAAAAATGCTTGTGTCATTGATCATCAGATAAATATAAATCAAAAAAATAATTTAACTTTCTTTAGAACATGAATGTTGGTAAGAATACAGAGCACAGAAACTTTCATTCCTTACTGGTGGAAATGTGAAACAATACTGTTGCCTTGGAAGACAGCTTGGCAGGTTTTTTTTTTACAAAACTAAACTCTTATATAATCCACCAATTCACTCCTCAATCCAAATGAGGTGAAAACTCACGTCCACACAAACGCCTGCACACAAATGTGTAGAGCAGCTTTATTCTGGAATGTTCTGAAATGAAGCAACCATGATGTTTCAACAAATGAATGGATAAACAAATTGTGTGGTTCATCCATACAGCAGATATCGGGCTAGGGCTGGGGATTTAGCTCAGTGGTTCTGTCGCCTGCCTCGCAAGTGCAAGGACCCGAGTTCGATCCCCAGAAACAACAACAACAACAAAAAAATCATACAGCAGTTATCAACCCGCAAGATACATGGAGGAATCTTAAATGCACACTATTAAGCAAAAAGAATCAATCTGAAAAAACTATATATTGTATTATAATTCCAACTATCTGACATTTTGGGAATGGCAAAACTATGGAGACAATAAAAAGATCAGTGGTTTCTAAGGCCTCAGGGGAAGAGATGAATAGATAAAGCACGGAAATTCTGGACCAGTCAAACTACCAGTATAATACTATCATGGTATGTACATGATAACAGGCATTTCTCAGAACCCGTACAACATGAAGAGACGGACTTAATGAAAACTAGGGACAATAATTTATCAATAATGGTTCGTTAGTTGTACCAAAGTAATGCAAAATGCTGACAATGGGAAATTCTGAATGGGTTAAGAGAAGCTCATGAGAATCTTGTACTATCTGTATAATTTTTCAGGAAATCGACAACTGTTCTAAAATATAAAATCTTTCAAATATAAAAAAACTAGCTGAGACCAATTACTTTCTTTCAATAATTCAATGCGTTTGTTATCCAATATTGTCAGAACTCTGTCAAGGTGCCACATACTTACCTTTAATCAAAGGGTTTATTGTTCATACACATCTGTGGTTCTCAAGTAGGGGAGACTCTGCCCCTCCAGAGACATTTAGTAATGCCTAGAGAACTGCTTTTCATGACTAAGTGGAAGGAGATGTTCCTGGCACCTCCTGGTCTGAAATACTCCTAAACATTCTACAAAGCACAGAATAGCCCCCTAAGATAAAGAACGACCCAAAATGTCAATAACACTGAGGTTGAGAAACTAATAATTCATATACCAAGACACCTGGCAGCATCCAGTGTGCAATATTTATGCAAAACATGTTTCTGTTGACAAATGGATATAAGAATGATTGAACAAACTTATACACATACACACACACACACACTCAAAAGGAAAGAGAAGGGAAGGAAGTGAAAGAAAATGGAAAAGAAAAAGAACAGGGCCATAAGCACATAGATCATGAAGGATTATGGAGATTCATATGTAAGTAAATAAAATATTATGTGATAGGTATGATAGAAGCTTATGCAAAATATCTCACCTCTTTCTCCACAAATATAAGACCATATCCCATAGCCATAAGACCACACATATCCTTTGACTTTTTCTCTTCAAAGGAACAGGGTCTTGGCATGTTGCTCAAGCTGGCCCCAAACTTAAGCAAACCTCATGCCTCAGTCTCCTGAATAGCTGGGACTACATATGTACACCACTAGACCTGGCTTGACTTCTTTAATAAAATGCATCCCAAACCTCATTTTCAGCTATTATGACTTTTGGGTTATAAGACACATCTCCCTAATCTCACATTTAATTTTGAGAAATTTCTCATAGATATTTTTGGGCAGTGGGTGTGGGGTGACAGGTTTTTCCACACAGCCCAGGCTGGAACTGAACCCATGATCCTCCCGCTCCCAGCTCTCAGGTGTTAGGATTGTGTGTGCCACCACACACAGCTTCTCATGGACTTTAAGATATGCCCATCTCACAGCACCAAGCAGCTGTTGTCATTCTAACAGTTCTTTCAAATAAAGTAGAGTAAGAATGGGCAACTGAAATGAATGGACATGTCTCAGAAGAAGAAGTACAAATGGTCCATATCTACATGGAAAAATGTTCAACATCTCTGGACATTACAGAAATGCAAATTAAAACATTGAGATTCTACCTTACACCAGCAAGAATGGCTAACATTAAGAAATCAAATAAGAGGGCTTTAGCCCTATTATCAAATAACGGAGATTTAGCCCAGCAATGTTGCCGCCTGCCTCGAAAGCGCGAGGTCCTGAGTTTGATCCCTGGTACCAAAAAAAAAAAAAAAAATGCCAGCAAGGCTTCAGAGAAAAAAGAACCCTTCCACACTACTGGTGAGAATGTAAGCTAGTACAACCACTATGGAAATCAATATGGAGAGTCCTCAGAAAAATACTTTTACTACTACTACTAAAAATAGAAATTCCATTTGACCCAGCTATTCCTTGTCTGGTTATCTTTCCAAGAGTTAAAGACATCATATTACAGTGATACTTATATATTCATGCTTATAGCAGCACAATTTATATTTATAATTCTTCAGAAACAAAAGGTAAGAAAAAACCAGCTGTGGTAGCATGAGCCTGTAATCCCAGCACCCAGGAGGCTGAGGCAGGAGGATTGTAAGTTTGAGGTGAATCTAGGATATATACCAATGCTAGACAGGGCTACACAGCAAAACCTTGTCTCATGGTGAATGATGGAACATGTGTAAGAGCAAGAGATTAAATTTATTTTCTCTTTTGTTTTTGTTTTTTTGTTTTGTTTTTTGAGTCAGGGTCTCACCATGTAGTTCAGGCTGGCCTTGAGCCCACTATGTTGCCCAGGCTGGCCTCAAACTTTCAGAGATCCTCCTGCCTTAGCCTCTTGCGTACTGGGATTATAGGCACATACCACCATGCTTAGCTGAGATCAGATTTCAAGACCGGAAACTGGGGGGCAACTCAGGGGTTCCAACATATGAACCTTTGAGGAACAAATCACATTTAACCACAGCAGCAGACCAGACATTAAAGAAATTATATGTTATACACAGATTATATACTGCCCTAGTCTCATCCCCAAAGCTCCAACAACAACTGATTTTAAAGTCCTTACTTTAAGAAAAAGAGTATCACTTTGTACCATCATCTTAAAAGGACAGGGACTATTCATTCCTTAAAAAGATACCTGAATTCATCCTCCTAGTAAGGAATGGGCAATCATACAGAAACACATCAGTTAAGTGGTTGCTACTAACAGAGTAGGTTCCGGAAGCTTTTGTAAACCAGTCATCGGAATGATGACTATTGGATTGTTTTGTCAGATGACTCCAACAATAGACAGAAGAAGTGAAAAGGTAGAGGAAGTATCATTGAAGCCAATTAATAGTACATAAAATTAGCATTACCCCTTTGAAACATTATATACAAACCACATACATCAAAGTGAACAGGGCTGGGGATTTAGCTCAGTGGTTCCATCGCTTGCCTTGCAAGCACAAGGACCCGAGTTCTATCCCCAGTACCAAAAAAAAAAAGAAAAAAGTGAGTAAGAAAACAGTACACGGCAGGGAGTCACAAAGCTGGATGTCAATTATACCTTTTCTACTTCCTAGCTGTGACCTTGCTGTGCTTCAGTTAACACGATTATAAAGACAATAATCCTTAGGCATTCTATTATAGAGTAATTTTTACTTTTCAGAAATAAAACTTTCTGATAGCTATATCAAATCATCATTCACTTTTCTCCCAAGTCAGATACCAAGGCAATAAAACAAAAAGAATCATTCATTACTAATTCTAACAAACCAAGGAATTCACTAAAGTTCTTTCAGAAATTCATTTCATTTGGGCCAGGGATTCATCTCAGTGGTTCCACCACGTGCCTCGAAAGTGCAAGGTCCTGAGTTCAATCCCCGATACCAAAAAGAGAAACTCATTTCATTTCATGAATTAAATAGTATTTTGTGGCACAAAACCAAAGAATTTAGCGACCATATACACACTCACTTATTCACTGTGAAATTCATTGTGATCAGTTAACTTATTTTTGGAATGTCTTCCTAAGTACATAATCTAGAAAATTTCAAATTTAGAAAAAATTTAGCCATTGAAACTTTAAAACTCTTATCACAGAATAGAAGATTGCACAATAAAGGAGTACAGGCACAGACACAAAACTTAATTTGGTTTTCATTTAGACAATGTTTCATAAGTAGCCGTGCTTACTGGTGTCACTGGTAGGCTCAGATGAGAGTGATTTTGGAGCTGGTGTATTTTTGGGTCTGGCAGCAACCTGAGATGGAGGTGAAGGTGCACTGTCTCCATTAACTATATACGAATGGCATGTGTTTTGGACTACAGTATTTGTAGGTACATGATTATCTACTCCATTAGTACCTTCAACGGCCAACCTTTAAAAAGAAAAAAGTGTCTTACTTCAGTGACTTAAGAACAATTAAACAGCTTTTCATCTACATTTTTATAAATATTTTATTTTCTTACATTAAAGAGCTAGGTATAAAGAGTAATATAAACAAAGATATGCTTGCTTCTATTAAGTCTGTTTAAACTACTCTTAGTTCTAAGTGTATCCATAATGGCAGGCGAAAAAATACTGATATTCAAATATATTGAGTCCCAATCAATTCAGGCTCTCAAAATAATATTCAAATTGTACAGTTTACTTAAGTCTATTAATCCATTTTAAATACTCCAAAAGCAACTGCAAAAAGCTCATGATTTTCCTTGAAACTTACAAAAACCAATTCTAAACTTATAATTTTATCAAATACTGCAAAAAGGTGAAAACACCTGCAAATATTGATTTAAAATCAGGTATTAGTCACTAAAATTGTGAGTACATGATAAGAAAAAGCTGTTATACCCCCAAATTGTAAGAATTTATAGTCCATAAATTAACTGCAAGTAAATAAAAACAAACTACAAAATCAGACATTTTAAGTCCTGCTGGCAGTGAATAAATGTTGGACAGTATCATGGAAGTGACCAAGAAAGTTTTTCCAAATATAGAGGACACCCCGTATCTACAGAGCACTCTGAGTATTTTTTTTTTTTGGTACCGGGGATCGAACTCAGAACCTTGTGCTTTCAAGGCAGGCAACAGCACCTCTGAGCTAAATGCCCGGCCCCAACTCTAAGTACTTAATTTTTAAAAAAAACATAAATCATGTCATGTCCTTTTCCTGCTTAAAATCCACTATACTTGTGAGGGAAATAAAATTCTAAATTTCTTACCACATCCCAGAAAGCTCTGGAAAAATTAACCCCGTCCCCACCCTATGTCTCTGAGATTATTTCTCTTCAAATTCCTTGTTTTACAATATAAAAACAGATACGCGCAAGGTCAAGTTTGATCCCTCGTACCAAAAAAAAGATATAAAAAGAAGACACATTTCACATACTAATGCATTTTAATCAGTGTTAACTGTTGTGTCCTTTCAGTCATTAATTTTCTCAAAATAAATTATAATATGGACACTAAATATATTTAAAGGCATATATACATTCTGAAAGTATACTTACCTTTTCAAATGCTTTGATAAGAATTATTTAATGGCAATTTAACAGTGACACTATTAATAACTGTAGATTAATAAAGGTCATATATCTTGTTTTTTCAAATATCTCACATCAATTTCACAGCAATATATTTTTATATTTTCAGGTTTTAATTCCACCATATTTGAAATATAGAGCCTCTATTAATTGTCATGAAATGTGAGCATCAGGGAGTTAAAAAAAATGGTAATTTTTTTTTTCCCTTTTTTTTTTTGGTACCGGGGATCAAACTTGGGTCCTTGCACTTGGGAGGCAGGCGGCGGAACCACTGAGCTAAATCCCTGGCCCTAGATTTTTTTTTTTTAAATAAAACCACAATATATAGAACATTTATCTCTTCATGATCTACAGATAATGCTATTTTAGACAGCAATAAGATTATTTCATAGTATCTGACACTATGTACTGATAAGACATGCAAATACAAATTTTAAAAAGACATTCAACAGGGCCAGGGATTTAGCTCAGTGGTTCTGCCGCTTGCCTCACAAGTACAAGGTCCTGAGTTCAATCTCCAGTGCCAAAAAAAAAAAAAAAGACATTCAATAAAGAAACATTCACACATGTGATACCATCAATAAACCCTGAAACATTATGCTAGGTGAAAGAGGTAATCACAAAGTTCACACATTGTATGAGTCTGTTTACAGGAAATAGCCAGGAAATGCAAATCTACAGAAATCAAAAGTAGATTATGAAATGCCAAAGCTGAGAGAAGAAAGGAACGAGGAGGGACTGCTGCTGGAGACAGTTTCTTGGGGGGTGGGGGTGGGGCGGTAATAAGAATGTTCTGAAATCAGAAAGTAGTGACAACATATGAATACACTAAAGTCTAATAAAATGAACACTTTAAACAACTAACAACTTACGGTATAACTAAAAAACCGCCATTATTTTAAGATTACTTTCATAAGAATTCAAGAAACAACAAAAACACACAGAAAATTTTTAATTCTGTGGCAAATGCTAAGCTACAGTTAATCTTTGAAGCCTCATACATGGGAAATGCTACATCATGTTGCCACAAATACTAAAATAAAATATTTTACCTGGTAGTTGTCCTTGCCAAAGGCTCTCCATTTTCATGTAAGGCATCACCATTTTGCTGTATTTCTACTGAACAATAAGAAAGAGAGAAAGAAACTATATTTTTATATACTTTCTGTTGATTTTTTCTTAAAATCTTAAAAACACATAAACTTAAGCTTACTGGTTGGAGATGAGGTGCAGTTTGATAGATTTTCTTGCTCAATCACCAATCCATCAAGCACAACTGTCAATTCACCAGTTTGCACTATGCCGTTCTTGTTTTCCAAGGAAAGTTTTAATTGTTCTTTTACTCTTTCCACTAGAAAAGAGAATATCCTAATTTAACAGCTTTTGCCATATAGAATATTCTCTAGAAATCAAAACTATATTTCAAGAGTTACTCTAATTCAGTACTTGACAGCTACACTTGGAAGAAATTCTTTAAATATTTAACATGGTAGGCCCTTCTATATTACAACATTGATCCCTTTCATGCCTACTTAAGCAACTCCTTTTCTCCACCCTATGATTTCAATATCTTTAATTGTTTTTTGCACAGTATAAGCTTCAGAGAATATATATCTAAATAATAACTGCAACAATTAACATGCTCTTTAGCCCAAAGTCCCACAGAGAATCCTTGTAGTTGAAGCACAATTTCTGTATGAAAGTCAGGCAGTTTGGTTACAAATTCCAGCTGTGCTACTTACAACTGTACTTTATCTAAATTTCTTTAACCCTCATATGTTTCATTACAATGGAGATCAAGGGCTTCAACTAAAGGGACAGTCCTAAGGATTTAATGAAAACCAGGCAGACAACTCTAGCACCATATATGACATATAGTGCTCAATAAATACTATGTATTGTGTCAAGAGTTTTCCCCTTGTTATTATATAAAGCTAAATACTTCTCCATTACTGGAAAATCTAGTTTCTATTCAATGTCATTTTTCTTCAACTTCTATCCCACAGAATACATATTAGGTTATTAATGAAGTGAGAAGAATGAGAAGATGACATTTGGATGTCATATAATTAGATAGGAGAACTAAGTTTTCCTTTCAAAATATATTGCACCGCATGGTGGATATAGTAAATAATATACTGTAATTTTAAAATCACTGAGTGTAAATTTCAAATCTTCTCACTGGAAAAAATCATTTTGAGGTGACAGATGTTAATTCACCAGATTCAATTATTTTAACTTTATTATAAAGCATATCACTTTATAAATATACACAACTATAATCCATCAATTTACAATTTTACATAATTCAAAATTTTAAAACTTATCAGCGACCACTTTATTATTCAAAATGGAGCCAATTAATTCAATCTGATATTCAGTAGTTCTCAGCTTTTGAAATCATGGAACATTTCACATCATTAAGTCCCCTGACTTTGATGCTTCCTGTGTATGTAGCAACTTAACCTCCTCTTCCCAATTTACACTTCTGACCCAAATGTCCAACATAAACACACTGACTGATTATCCAAGTACACAAAAAGACAAGACAAAAATCTAGAACTACTAATCACTGGACAGGAACTGTCTAAAAAAATCCTTAAGAATCATACAATAAAAGAAGACCTTATAGAACTCCTACTCTATACTCCAACTATTTATAACATCATAAACCTCATTTCTACCCCATGTGAAGAACAATAATAAAGAAACTAGGGGAAATACGAAAGCACATACACACACAAAACCAAACCACAAGAGGATGAATTTCAACTTTCTTTAATATTCTGCATCTGAAGATTATTATACTATATTAACCAACATTTTATTTCAATCTTGCCTTCTTGCCATTTAGTGTATCTGGGATTTGGAGATTTGGCTTTCTTTCCTAAAATATGCATTTAGCTATTTGAACAGACTAAAGAATGTCCTTCTAAAGTCTCTCAGTGTGGATCTCTTGGTAAATTCTCATTTCCATTTACCTATAATTGTGTGCATTCTCACCTACAAAAACAAGGTTTGATAAACATGCAATTTCATATTGATAATGATCTCCCAACTCTTTGAAGAAATTTTTCACTATCTTCTCCTATAACTGCTAATTCTGCAGTTTTAATCTATAAGTCTTTGCAAATGCTTGTTTTTCTCCATTGATGCTGAATGTTTGTCTTTGGTGTTACACATTTCACTAACAATATGTCCAGGCATGATTTCTTCTTTGCTACTTTGTTTGGAGTAATATGGTTCTGAAGTCATGTTTTTCATTAGTGTTCAGAAACTTGCAGCCATTCTCTCTCTGCTTTTCAGGTATTAATTTTATTCAATGGCAAATAGTACTTAGGTGTACATTTTGGAATTTTTTAGCTCATACTTGATTTGGTACTGGACAGTCAACATAATGAGTTCAAGGCTAGCCTGAACTACATAGCAAGATCCTGTCTCAAAAAAACCAATCAACCAACCAACTAAATAAATAAATAGCACCTCAACTTCCTAAAATTCCTTCTCCACTATGACCAAACCATGTCCTTACCCTAGGATATCATGGCCCCTACAAAAATATCTTCTGGTTCCAGTCCCCTTATCTATATTGTAATCAGCCTTCAAAGACTTTATCCTGTCTATCCATGCTACAAACTCTGAATCTCTTGTCAAAAACCATACAGGAACTTTTTGGGCATACTAGATTCAGTGTTCCACTTTAAGAAGTATATTGGCTTTCACTTTTCTCTTCTTTTATTGTCACAAAACCCACACAGCCATTCTTTCCTCTCAGGAGACTCCTTTCTCACTTCATCTCTTAAAAAGTTAGTCTCTACAAATAGGTGAGGAACACAGACATACTATGGAACATCTCTCCTCTGGAACCTTCTATGTAAATATATCCATTCTATTAATTCAAAGTACTGATTATCAAACATCTGGATACAGCACATCTCAAAAATATAATACCATTTTCATCAATATTCTTTTTCCTCTAGACTGGTGATTTCTGATTTAAGGAGGAGGATAGGGCATGTTTGTGGTAACTTTACTAACACAGGTTGTCATGATTTTCTTCAGTTATCTATTTTAGTATTAGCAGTTTTTGAAAACAAACACTCCAAATTTAAAGCTTATTTAACTGAAGGCCAAAACCCAGAGTTCAAGTACAAAATCAGTAAGTTACACCAAAGGCCATCAGTAATTTTTATCATCATTCATAAATGTATTTTTTTTTTGGTACCAGGGATTGAACTCAGGACCTTGCACTTGCAAGGTAGGCGGCAGAACCACTGAGCTAAATCCCCCGCCCCATAAATGTATTTTTAAACTGCCTCTAAGTTATCTAAAAACCACAGTAATTTTATATTAATTCTAATCAAGTCAATAGCTAAGAATGGGAAAGTTATATTCTAGTCACGGTCTTGCAATTCCTTATGTTCTTCTGTTCAGCAAGTTGCTTAAATGAAGTTATTTCATCAATAAAACAAGTGACTGGGACTAATACATAGGTTTCTTGCTTTTAAAGCATTATGATTTTATCATAAGGTTTAACTGTACCCCATCCCAAATTCACACATTGAAGTCTTAACCCCCAGTTCTTCAAAATGTAACTATTTGGAGACAGGATCTCTAAAGCGGTAATTAAGTTAAAATAATGTCATTAGAGTAGGCCCTAATAAAAATGACTGGAGTCCATACAAAGAGAGGAAATTTAGATATAGACTCATGCACAGAAATGCACAGGCAAGAGACCATGTGAGGGCAAAAGGGAAAGATGGCTGCTGGCATGGAAAAGGCGCCTCAGAAGAAACTAATCCCACCCACACACTGATCACAGACTTCTAGCTTCCTGAAGAGAAAATAACCTTCAGTTGTCTAAGGAATCTAGTCTGTGGTATTTTGTTATGGCGGCTCCAGCAAATTAATGTATCTTTCAGTAATTAAAATAAAATTACTGAGTACCCATGGTTCGTAAGATGCTATCACTGCAATTTCTGAGGCCCTCCTCACTATATAAATGTTTATGAAGTATTTTTCTTCCAAGCATATTCTGATCAATTAAATCTTAATAACTGTAAGCTTATCATATTAATGAGGATTTCATCTCAAAGTGTATTGACTTTTGCAGCATTCCTAGATGACCATCATGGCAAAATCTTTATATGGAGGGTAATTAATTTTAACACAGAAGTTCAGTGCAGTCTAATGTAACAGAATTAGAAACAATCTAAACAGCCAACATAGGGGTGTGGTTAAATAATAACAACCCAGGCAAGGTACTGTTTCCTTTTAAATGCCCTATTTCTATATTAAGACAAAATGAATGACCCAAAAAATAATCATGCCATAGCAAAGAAACTCACAATGGTTCAAGAGAACGTGTTTTTAAAAATCTGAACTTACATAAAACTGAGTGGCTTACTAATGGTATAAACCATAATAATGAACGTACTTATGTCCAAATTTTGTACCAAAAGCAGGCTTTTAGGTTACATGTAGATTTTCAAAAAGAGCTTTAAAAAATATCAGCTTATTTTAAGCACTAGTATTTTTAGCACTTAACATAGCGAACCTATTTTTTGGAGCTAGTGAGAAAATATCTAAATAAGATGAACACAAAGATTTACATTTGGACAACAGCATTAGGTTCAATGAACTGTTAGAAACTGCCCAATCTCAGATAATATGAGATTAAATAATGGTGTGAAGAAATATGCAGTTCTTAAAATTTCCAAACTAGAACTATTTTTTAATCTTCAATGAAACACATATTTTGAGAATTTGATAAAAGCTCTGAACCTTGTCCTCAAAATTACAAATTCATGTATATATAGCCAATTTTTTTGCATTTAGTGACAGGAGGTACACAAATACATTGTAGCCTAAAATACCTTAAGAATTCCCAGGCTAGAAAAATTGAATATCATAGAAACATATTTATAGAATACTGTTAACATTTTAGAAGATAAATGAACAGATGCAAAAACAAAAGAAAATATGTATGTCTACAAACAAGAGACCAAATTAACAGTGGTTATTCTTGAATAAAAGAATAGAAAGAAACAGACTTGAGGACCAGTGGAACAGATTAGAAGATGCAGAAACAACGCCAGACACACTCAGCCATCTCATCTTCGACAAAGGAGCCAAACACCTGCACTGGAGGAAAGATAGCCTCTTTAATAAATGGTGCTGGACAAACTGGGCTTCAACTTCCCAAAGATTAAAACTAGACCTGTATCTCTCACCATGCACTAAACTAAAATCAAAATGGATTAAAGATCTAAATATTAAAATAGAAACTCTGAACCAGTTGGAACAGAGGTTAAGTAGAACCCTTGAAGACATCGGTGTAGGAAAAGATTTTATGAACAAAACCTCAGTTGCACATGAACTAGCACAAACAATCAACGAATGGGATCTCTTATTAAAAAGCTTCTGCACAGCAAGAGAAACCACCAGCAGTGTGAAGAGACAACCCACAATGTGGGAAAAAATCTTCACCTGCTCTTCCTCAGACAAAGGTCTACTATCTCGAATCTATAGAGAACTTAAAAAGATCAGACCTCCCAAATTCAAAGACCCAATCCAAAAATGGGCATCTGAAATGAACAGACATTTCTCAGACAAAGAAGTAGAAATAGCAAATAAATGCATGAAAAAATGTTCAACATCACTGGCCATTTGAGAGATGCAAATGAAAACAACGCTGAGATTCCACCTCACTCCAGAAAGAATGGCTGCTATCAGGAAATCAACCAATAACAAATGCTGGCGGGGCTGTGGGGAAAGAGGAACCCTGCTCCACTGCTGGTAGGAGTGTAGACTGGTGCAACCACTGTGGAAATCAGTATGGAGATACCTCAAAGAACTAGGACTGGAAGTCCCATTTGACCCCGCTATTCCACTGCTGGGGATCTTCCCCAAAGAATTCAAAGAATCATACCACAGTGATATATGTGCACTCATGTTCATAGCAGCACAGTTTGTGACAGATAAAACTTGGAAACAGCCCAAATCCCCATCAACTGGAGACTGGATAAAGAAAATGTGGCTTTTTTATAAAATGGAGTACTATTCAGCCATAAAAAATGAGAAATTAGAGACATTTATAGCTAAGTGGATGCACATTGAGGTGATACTCTTAAGTGAAATAAATAGGACACAGATGTGTAAATACCGAATAGTTTCTCTGGTGTGAGAAACTGAAAGTGTAAATAAGGAGTAAATGTATAACAGGTAATGTGAAATAGGAAGAAAAGGGGCAAAGGGGAAGGAAGTGGGAGGGCTAGGGGAAAGGATAGAAGGGAATGGAATTAATATGAGAAAATGGAAAATTAGGAACAAAATCTTTGTAAATAGGGAGGACTGGAGGGGTTGAAGGGAGGGCTGGGCAAGGGTGAAAAATAAAAACCAAGAGAGACTATGTAAAGGTGCAAATTTCCAATGATGAATGTCATGATATTGTATACCTAAAATGTACCAATGATTAGAATGAATAATCGATAATGTAAAATAGGAAGAAAAGGTCCAAAGGGGTAGGGGTAGTGGGAGGGGCAGGGGAAAGGAAAGAAGGGAAAGGAAAAAATGCTGAGAAATGGAAAAAATGGAAATAAAGTCTTTGTAAATAGGGAAGGGTGGAGGGCGTGAAGGGAGGGCTAGGAATGGGGAAAAAATAAGAACCAAGATGCATTATATAAAGGTACAATTCCCAATGAGAAATGTAATTGTGTTGTACACCTACAATGTACCAATAAAAGAATTTAATACAAAAAAAAAAAGAATAGATACAGATAATTTCTATACTATTCTGTGACTTTTCATATTTTCACTATTTGCTACACAGAATGCTTACATATTAAAAAAAGAAAATTTAAAGTTAGAACTTATTTTATCTAACTAAAATCGTTTATTAGTCAAGTAAAGTAGAGCAGACATGGAGTACGTTCTTTTTTCAAATTTTAAAGTACATGGTAAATAAGTAATAAATGACTAACGATGACTGATAACAGGGTACATGTGGATAAATAACATCATTTTGTAAGTCCAATAAATTTCACCTGTATTATATAATGCCACAAACACAGGCAATTACAAGCAACAACTGATGTTCTCCCTTATGAGTACAAAATTATTATTATTATTTTACTTTTGGATTTCAGGGTATATACAAAGTATCTAAAAGAAAGAAAAGAACAACAACTTACATTTTCTATTGTGCATTAACAGAGCTTGTTTCAAATCTATAGTTGCTCTTCCTAATAAAGCATCTGCTTTTAAAGTATGATGACTCCAAACTCTAAATTCCAATGTAGTCTGTGGGGTCACACTTCTGTAAAGGCAAATTCGGGACAAAAATACACAAACATGTATCAGTACTATGAGTAATAATTCCTTTAAACCACTTATTTCAGCAAGTTTTAACACCAAAAATGAGTTTATATTATACAAAGTAGTAAATTTTTTGAATTATGAATAAAAGAGTATTTAGTTTCAAATATAGTAGGGCTTTAATAAGTAGATAGGAATGTTTGTAGATGGCAAGCTAAAATACCAGTAATATACTGAAGAGTCTTACTGAGATGTGACAATACTCCATTTGATCAACTTTCTAAAGATTTAAGAAAACTGATGGTCAGGTGTGGTAGTGCACACCTGTAATCCCAGCACTTGGGAGGCTGAAGCAGGAGGATCACCGCAAGCCTGGACTACATGGTGAGATCTTGTCTCAATAAGTAAATAAATAAATAAATGGAAAGAAACCTGATGGCATTGGTTATAATACATTTATTATACAGAAATTCATACTGTATTTTAGAAATGCCAAAATTAAGAATCAGTAATTCTATTTCTATACCAAGATATTCAGATAAAATATGACTATATAGATGTCATTTAGTTTATAAAATAAAAGCTAAAATTATTAAGCTTCTTTTAAAAAATGAAATTGACTAGAAATGTTTCATACTTTAAATCACCTATTCATCTGGAAAAATATCCTTACTTTGGAGTCATCCTATAAAATATGAAATGTAAGAAGCACACATTCTTTTTAATATGTTGCATCCTTTATACAAGATACTTACACAGTTAACTGTTCATCCCATTTTGGATTAGAAGAACTACTGGATTTTGCTGTTTTTTTAATTTCTCCATCTACACCTACTTCTGTATATATTGCTGTTCCAAACCAGTTCTTTTTTCTTTTTAGTTTGGCACTAGAAACTAACAAAAAATAATAATCACTAGTGAGTATGTGTAGCCAAAAAATAGTATTGCCTACTAATAAAGCAATTATTCTTTTCAAATGTTTCAACATTTATGGAACAATCAATGTATCTTCAATGAGTTTCCTTTGGTGTTCACTATTATAGGGTTATATCCAAGTAAATATCAAAAAACATAAAAAAGCAGGGATTATTAATTTTAAAATCTCACTTGCAACCAGGCATGGTGGTGCACAACTGTAATCCTAGCATTTGGAAACTGAGGAAGAAGGATCAATGCAAGTTTGAGGTCAACCTGGGCTACATGGTGAGTTCAAGGTCAGCCTGAACTATATAGCCAGTTAAAAAACAACATAAACAAAAAAATTTCATTTTCAATAATCTCTCTAAAAACATCCAGTAGTAGACTTAGAAATGTATATAATCTGCATGAAGACAACCATAATCATAGATATAAAAGACTTAAAGAGAATCACTTGATTCTTGATTTGCAAATTTTAACACTAAAAAATTTCAATTACCTTCAATTTAATACATTTTTAATATATTCAATTTAATACATTTTTAATATATTCAATTTAATACATTTTTTAAAAATTTTAAAACATGAACTTCTGATTTTGCAAGCATTTGATGGGTGCAAAGAAAAAGGAAAGGAGACTCAAATTTTAAAAAATAGAGAATAGTGAATAGTGAAAGCATAGATGTGCATAAAATGAAAGTGTGCAATTTCTCCAAATTTTTAAGTACTTTAAAATGAAAATAAGACAATCTGACAATGATGTAAGAGAACAGGTGAAGAAGATATTATTACATAATGATGACATTTCAAATCAACAGGAATAGATCATTCACACCACTAATACAAAAATATTACACGACTTAGATTTTTATTTTTTTGGTACCGGGAATTGAACACAGGTCCTTGCGCTTGCAAAGCAGGCAGCTAAACCACTGAGCTAAATCCCTGGCCCTTAAATTTTTCTTTTACAAAGTGAAATTTAGATAGTAGAAAACACAGCAGCTAAAAAATTGTAACTGTGAACAGACTATCAGTTTTCAACCTCAAGTAAGCTTTTTATATATCTTGCAAACTTTCTGACCCTTACTGGTTGAAAAATGTGAAATCTAAAATATTACAGATACTACTAATTATGCATGCTATTCAGCCTATGTACATGATATACTACAATATATTACCACATTACAGTAGGTAAACTTCTGTTTGACTTTTTCCTGTTACAGTTTTCCTGCTTTCCACCATCACTGTTCTTATTCCTTTCTGTTTTGTTTTGTTCTATTTAAGTGTTAGGGACCCAAATTCAGGGCCTCAGGTTTGCTAGGCAAGCACTCTACCGTTTACACCTGCAGCCTACTTGTTCTGATATTTATTTTTGGCTTCTAGTCAGATACAGGCTAAGAACAGAAATAAAAATAAGAATGCATATGTGAATAATAAAAATAAATTAGGATTTTAAAAATAATTGAGTGTAGGGTAGAGTACTTCAGTTTATCGGCAGTAATCTGCCTAACCACAATAACAGGGCTTAATGATGACATTATCTGATCATTCTTAAAAATAAAAGAAAAATCAATACACAGGTCACTGTTAGCTAATCAAAGGCGTACGTAACAACTTTAAGTCCTAAGATTTCCGTCAGCCTCCATTACTAACAGTACTTACTCCCTCTGATTCTGTTTCCTCTCTTACAAATAGGAATAGGAATATTTTCTATACAAGGTATTATAAAATAAGTAGGACTGTGTATTTCATTATTTTTTTTAATTTTAAAAACTGATTAACAAAATGAGAGGAAGGTAAAGAAAAAGAGAAGGGGACTAATATCTGGTGCATTTAAAACATGTCCAAGGTCAGTATTGCCCAGAGCATCACTCACGAATAAGTTTGGGAAATTAGATATTTTTAAAAGTTTCAAAAGAATCAACATATTAAATTGTGAAAATCACTTACCAGTTACCTGTAACTGCAACCTTCCACTGTGGTTATTACTAGTATCAGACCTTGGTGAAGCAGTGGCCATGTTCCAAAATTCAGCTTAAACCTATAAAAAAAGAGATAATTTTTCCATGTGTTAGAAAAAAGATTATAATTTTTAAGATGACTAAAACTGTTCATTCAAAACAACTAAAATCCACACTGTCAACCCATCATGTTGGCAAGTTCACAGGCTCCATTTAAAATGAAAACTCAGTGTTAGAAATATTAATGAAGACTATGGCCATAAATCACATCTAAGTCAGTATGAACCAAATAAATGGAATCCAGGACTCCAGGGTTCTAGGAATCTAGGAATCTAGGATTATATGTTGATTCATAAATAAATACATAAATAATATATTTATCATGCATTATTTGAACCACACGAGTACTGTATGTTGCTTTTGTCCTTTAAAACTACAGTGTGTATTTCCTAAGAATAAAAATTTCTCTTAAATAATCAAAGTAAAACGATAGATTTAGGAATTTAACTAGTATACGACTATAATCTAATCCATATTCTAATTTCATTAGCTGTCTCAACAGTGTCCTTTATCAAAATTTTTCCAAAATAATATCTATCTAGTCTAGATTTACTATATTAGTTATGTCCCTAGTAAATCCTGAATGTTTCTTTGTACAGGTACTTTTTTTTCCAAGTTCTGCTCCATACTCCCCTGCACCAATTTTTATTTTTTAAATAAAACACAAAGCAGAGCTACTTCACCTTTCTTCCTTATTATGAATATCTCAAGGCTTGAAATTCTACCTGTTTTTATCCTACTAAAATGTTCTTGGCAAAATGAAGAAAAATTAATAAAAGCATTTATTGTTTCCCCTCTATTTGCAGTCTTTTCTGTGCTCCATTTAGAATCTTTCCTCAAATTCAGGAACCCAATACTCATGCTCTTATCACTTATTTGTAGTTGCATATATTATGTTTGAATACATTTGTGTTTGTGTAAAAAAAGTTACATGAGTAACTGACTATAGGTAACACATATTCACAGTTCTGTAACCTTGTTCAAGCCAATGCTCTCATTCTGCAGATGAGAAGCAGGCTAAAGAATTACATCTACCTGAAGGTAATCAGCTGTCATGTTCATATGAAAAAAAAAAATCAATGAAAATTTAAGGTTTTCAATTTCTAGCAGTCTAATCTACTAGGTATTTTAAAAGACTATCCTTTAATGCAAATAGCTCCTGGATAAATTGAAACAAATTTACTATTTTTCAAGTTGTTACTGTCTCAAAAGTAAAAAACAGTAAATGAAAACCAATCAAACAAAAGACTTGAAGAGAATTGAAATAATAAAGGAGAACTGGCGAGCAGTTAACAAAAATAAGTAAATACATAAATCAGAGTGTTGCCTTGGATATGTGTTGCATGTTGGTAGCACTGGGATCAGGACACAAAGCACTGGGCTAAGGGAGCTGACACCCTCACTAAGTGTGAGATCAAGTGAATGGTGACCTCTAACAACACAAAAGAAGCATATTTGCATATATTATCATAAAAGTTCCCCAACTTAAGCCATTGAGACAGCCCAAGAAGAAAAGCAACCAAATCTGAGCCTATAACTTAAAACATCAAATTTATAAGGAAACACTGTCACCATAAGAGTCAGCAGAAACAAATAAAATAGTTTCTGATCTCCAGGGACTTTAAATATTAATTGTGAAATATAAACTTTTAAAAACTAGTTTTAACATGAAATAAAACACAGCCAAGCAAGAATACAATTATAAAAAATGATAAGAATAATTTTTAAAAAATATTTTAAAATTTAGAAATAGTTTTAGATTTATAGACAAGTTGGGAAGATAATACAGAGTTCTCAAATACTCAACCCCAATTTCTACTGTTTTTGTGTTCAACTGACACATAAAAATTGTGCATATATATGGGTTACCATGTAATATTTCAATATATGTACACAATGTGTAATATTCAAATCAGGGTAAGCATATCTATATCAACGTTTATCACTTCTTTGTAGTGAAAATATTCAAAATCTTTTCTTCTAGCTTTCCTAAACTACACATTATCAATATCTGTAGTCACCATCTGTTGAATAAAACATCAGAACTTACCTCTAATTATAACTTAGTTATAACTGAGTTAACCCTTTTCCTCCTTCTGGCTCCTCTGTTTAAACATCTTACCTAAGCATGATACATTTGTCATAATAAATGAACTAATATCAATATATTATTAACTAAAGCCACAGCTCATTCAAATTTTCTCAGTTTTTACCTAATGAGCTTGTTCTATTCCAGGATCTCAACAAGAACACCATGTAACATTTCCTTAGGTTTCTCTTAGCAGAGATTTCCCTTTCTCTTTAGTTTTTCAGTGTTGGGGATAGAACCCAGAGTCTCACACATGGTAGGTAGCCACTGTACCTCAAAGCTACACCCCCAGCCTGCTTTCCTTTTTGTCAGATAGCTTGGAAGAGTACTATTCAGATATTTTGTAAAAGGTCCCTCAACTAGGATTTGTCTGATGTTCTTCTTGTTGTTAACTGATGTTGCTAGTTTTGGGGATAAAGATGACAGACATAAAGTGCCATTCTCATCATATTACATCAAGGGCACATGCTACTGACATGACTTATTACCATTAAAGATGCTCTTGATCATCTAGCTGAGGTAGATTCCACTACTATACAATTACTCTTTCCCTTTTTTCCCCACTCTGTCCACCCTGGGAGGAAATCACTATGAGTAGCTTACACTAAAGGTGTGGGGGAAGTTGTATTCTCCTTCCCTGCGGACACAGTATCTACACAAACTACTTTACCAGATAGAATTTTTTAAATTAAAAAGTATGATAACTGAAAGATGTAAAATTAGACAGAAGTCAAGAGACAATCAGCAAACCTGAATTTTTCTAACATATAATTTGAAAATAGTATTGATATAAACAGAAAATACCCTCCCCCTAAAAAAGTTGAAAGACAAAATGAGATCTGACATACTTCTATCATAACCTCAGAAAATAAATAAGGTCATTCTACGAGGATGTCCATTATCACCATTCCTATTCAATATAGTTCTAGAAACATTAGCCAGAGCAATCAGGCAAGAGAAAGACATAAAAGCAATAAAGATAGGAAAGGAAGAAGTTAAATTATCATTATTTTCAGATGACATGATACTTTTCATAGAAGACCTCAAAAATTCCACCTAAAGACTTCTAGATTTAATAACCACAGATACAAAGTCATCACTCAAAAATCAATAGCATTCCTGTACACAACTAACAAACTCAGAGAAATTAGTGAAACAATACCTTTCACAATAGCATTGAAAAAAATGAAATATTTAGGAATCAATCTCACAAAGGAAGTAAAAGATCTGCACACTGAAAATTAAAGTACTCTGAAAAAGGAGATCAAAGAGGATATCAGAAAATGGAAAAATATCCCTTGCTCGGGTGTAGAAGAACCAACATAGTGAATGAAGATGGCTACACTCCAAAACTGTTATACAGATTTAATGCAATCCTAATCAAAGCACCATTAGCATACTTCACAGAACTAGAGAAATCATTCCTAAAATTCATTTGGAATCAGAAAAGACCTAGAATAGCAAAAACAATTATGGGCAACAAAGGCAAGGCAGGAGGCATCACAATCCCTGACTTGAAATTATACTACAAAGCTACTGTGATAAAAACAGCATGGTACTGGTAAAAAGCAGACCAGAGGATCAATGGAACAGACTAGAAGATGCAGAAACAACTCCAAACACACTCAGCCACCATATCTTTGACAAAGGAGCCAAATATGTTCACTGGAAGAAAGATAGGCTCTTTAATAAATGGTGCTGGAAAAACTGGCTTTCCACATGCTGAAGACTAAAACTAGACCCATGTCTCTCACCATGCACTAAACTAAAATCAATATAGATCAAAGATCTAAATATTAAAACAGAAACACTAAATTTGCTGGCAGAGAGAATTGGTAGAATGCTTGAGGACACAGGAGTAGGCCAAGACTTTATGAACAAAACCCAGGCCACAAGGGAAACAGTACAAATAATGAACAACTGGGACCCCATCTTATTTTTGCTTTTGCACAGCAAAAGAAGTCACCAATAGAGTGAAAAGACAACCCACAGAGTGGGAAAAGATTTTAGCCAGAGTTCCTCAGACAAAGGACTAATATCTAGAACACATAAAGAATTGAAAAAAATCAGCCCACCCAAATTTAAAGACCCAATCCAAAAATGGGCATCTGAGATGAATACATACTTCTCAGATGAAGAAGTAGAAACAGCAAATAAATACATTAAAAATTGTTTAACATCACTGGTCTTTGGAGAGACGCAAATTAAAACAATGCTGAGATTCCACCTCACCCCAGAAAGAATGGCTGCTATCACGAAATCAACCAATAACAAATGCTGCCGGGGCTGTGGGGAAAAAGGAACCCTTCTCTACTGCTGGTGGGAATGTAGACTGGTGTAACCGCTGTGGAAATCAGTGTCAAGATTCCTCAACAAACTAGGATTAGAGGTCCCTTTTGACCTAGCTATTTCCCTTTTGGGTATCTTCCCAAAAGAATTAAAAGCATTATACCATAGTTATATATGCATACCCATGTTTATAGCAGCAGTATGTAATAGCTCAATCTTGGAAACAATGCAAATGCCCATCAACTGATGAATGGTTAAAAAAATGTAGTTTTTTAATATAATGAATACTATTCAGCCATAAAGAAGGACAGACTTGAGACATTTCTAGGTAAATGGATGTACCTTGAAAACATACTCTTAAGTGAAATAAATCAAACATACATGTAAATATCACATTCTCTCTCTGGGGTGAGAAACTGAAAGTGAGAGTAAGGACCAAAAAATAATGAATATTGTGAAATTGTTCAAAATTATCAAAATGTGAGATACTTTGGCAATACTTAAATGTTTTATGAAAAAAAGGTATAGTATTACTAGGAAATGAGCTGAGAAATAGATGAGCAAATAAAAATATATTCTTTTAAGATCATTATACAGTTTATTTACCATGGTTATTCTCTAATAATTTTTGTTATGAAAAAT